GAAATCTATCTGGACAAAACCATTCTCAGCCCCAGGGGCTGGCTGGCTGGGCAAAACCATGACACTGCTGGTGGATTTTGTAACCTCTGCATTTCTTTCTCTGCAAATGCTTTGTTCCTTTTTAGCTCAAGAATATCTTCTTTAGTTGCTGCAAGCTGATGAAACAGTACAGCTCTGGGAAAGAAATACTGCATGTGGTTGATGTGGATGCCCTCTTCTGCCTTCTAACAGGTCCATAGAGTAGAACAAGCTTTGATGCCCAGTTCCAGGGTCCACCTAGTCCAGCTTCCCTGTCTGTTAGAGGCCAGAAGAGGAAGGTTAGGGAAAGTGTGTGAGAATGTTGCAAACACTGAGAGTTACTTCCACAGATATATTCTTCCTTCCTTTCCTAGCCCTTGGCTTATGGTCTTTCTAAGCCCAAGGTTTTCATGTGCAACAGTTATTGATGGACTTTTTTCTTTCAGTCATGTCTAATCATTTTGAATGGTGCGCTCTGTAATGCCTGTAAAGGTACTAGGGTACATTTTTCCATTTTGGGACCCACAACTTAGCTGGAAACTGAGCTCCACTGAGGAATCATGAGTCAGCAGAAAAAAAACCACCACCACGTCTTTTTGGTCGTTTAAAGTTTTCTGCTTTATAGCTTCATCTGCTTCCCTGTCATTCTTAGATTATGAAAACTAAGACATAATAATTTCTTATCTGCCTTCTTTGTACTATCACAGTTTTATAAATCTTTATCATATTCATTCTCAGCCATCTGTTTTTTTCAAGCTGAAGAGTCTTAGCCTATTTAATCTCTTTTCATAGAGAAGCTGTTCCATATTTTTACTCATCCCAATTGCCCTTATTTGTATCATTGCTATATTCTTTTAGAGATAGTAAGACTAGAAATGCACAGTATTCAAGGTTTGTGGAGGCACAATGGACTTACATTCAGCAGAATGCTCTCTTCTGTTTTGCTTTCTATCTCTTCCATAGTGATTCCTAACACCCTATTTCCCTTTTTGACTGCAGCTGTGATTTCTACACACAGTGATTCTGCATTTTTTCCCTCAAATAACTGCTTGAGAAACTATTCTTGTAAATTATTTGCTTTTGTCTGGTTTTTAAAGTATTTTCAGGAATTTTGCCAATGCTTGTCTGAGCACTTCTCAGACCCAGGAACCTGATGACTAATGGGTAATATCTGAAGTTTAGTTGCTAATGGATGTGGAGTCATGTTTGCACTGCCAGGCAAACTTTCCTGAAAGTATGCTAAAGACATTTAGGAATCAAATTAACTGAAGCAGGCTGCCAGTTAATGCAACCTCTCAACAGCAGAGGTAAAGATACTAGAAGAAGACATTTGACAGTAAGCCTGTTCTTGCTGATCTGGGTAGAAGAGCAAGAGTATGCTGGAGGAAAAGTCCCAGCAGCATAAGTGGTGCGACTTAATATCCAGAATTTTAGGATTCATCAGCAGGACTCAAAATGGTGGGATCATAAGATTGTTAGCATTTAAAATAATTATCAGTTACCTGTGAGTTTTTTGTGGTACTAGGAAGGAATTTTTAAAGAAAATAAAATGTCCTTGTTGCGTAGCAATTAGTGTACCAATTTCTGAATTGCTACTTCATTTGTCATTCTCAAGAATTCTATAAAGAAAAGAAATTCTAACAAATAATTGAGAACAAAGATTACAGGGTTTTTTTACTCTTCTCTGTTCCAATGTAGACATTTCCTGTATTTTTAGAATAATGATTGTTAGAAGAACTACAGAAAATTAAAGTAATCGAGTCTACACATCTTAGTCAAGCCATTTGATCCACTTTTTCACTTTATTCATCTATTAAGGAAAGGCAATATTTACTTATATAACTCATGAGTACTGTGAGTGGTAATTAATGCTTATAAGATGTAGTATGATTGAAATGAAGAGCTATGCACTTCCAAAGAATTATTAATTTTATTATCATCGTTATTACTGTACTGAGCTATTGGAAATTACTTAAAGATAGCCAATTACTGTGGATTTTCTTGAGATGACTGTGTAGGGTATTAAAACTAGAGTGTTACACTGCAGAAAACTCATAATGAAGTTGTAAAAGTGACACTTTATCCCATGCCTTAAAATGGTATTGCCCATCCTGGAAGCAAAAAAATCTGAATAATGAATAAATTCTGATTAAGACAAAAATGTGCTGACCTCTCTTTTCACTTGTAGTTTATAGTGACTCATTTACTGCTTGCTGAAAATTCCCCATCTCTGTGTCCATGATTTTTGAGTCATATGCCAGAAATGTTTGGGATTTCTGGAAAAAGGTTATGGCCAACGGGCAACTGGATTTCTGCAGTTTAATGAGGGCCCACTTGTCAGGTGAGCTGCTGAATTGGATAGTGCGATAGCTCCTGCCACTGAGAACGTGAGCACAGGTCAGCTCTTGTGGTCCAGCAGGTGATGAGCCACTTGATAAGCTGTGGTGACCCTGTAGCTGCGATCCTCATACACCAGAGTGTGACTAACAGCAGCATGGCTGGATCAAGAGATGTCTGCCCCTAATGCTTCCAGCTCTGGGCTTTTATGCTCTGCTTCATAGGACATCTCCTTCACTTAAATCAATCTGGCTACATGACTGTGCTTTACAGCACAGTATGCTGTGAAATGAATCATTAAAAATGGCACTAACACCATCATTTTGGAAAAGGTTCCCTTTTAACAAAATAGGTCATTTGTAAAGCTGTTTTAGAACATGGCTGTACCTCAAGATTGTCCCCATGAAGATTTAAAATAGCTTTGTTAATATCCACTTTAAATGGTTATTTGGATTAATATTCTTGAGTTTCCCATGAACACAGGTTGAATTATACTGTGAAGAAAATTAATTATTTCCACTGGCAGTAAGGAATAATTTCTTACACAGAATTTCTGCCTCCTACTTGACTGGATTTCTAGACATTCCAATTTAAGTTCTTGATGAGTTGAGAATAAAAGATTTCCCTATTCTAAGCTGAAAGATTAATTACAGAACAAAGACTGTCTACAAAGAAAAATGTTATTCCTCACCCTTTACCAGTGCTGAGAGAAAGTAATTAGTTAGGGGTCTAATCAAACCCCCAGCAGGATTTGTAGCAAAAGGTTAAACCATTGCTATCCTTGCTGACACCTTGCTGTTCTGGGTGCTGGAAAGAGCTCTGGTTTAATTGCAACAATCCAGGAACCTAACAAGACACTCTCCCTGTGACAGCAATTTCTGAAGTATTGGAAAGCATGATCTAGAGGGACATGGGATTTCACAACAGCTGACAAAATTGTGCAATTGTAGCAACGCCATGCAGGAAGAAATGGTGCTGTGGATTCAGAGAGGTGGTGACTCTCAAAGGGCTCGACCAATGCAAGTTTTTACTGCTTCATTTGGGACATGCTTTGTTGGGATATCAAGCCAATTCCACTGATGCTGTAAATATCTCAGTGTTGACAGAAAGCAGCTTGGGAGAAAAGAACCTGGGGGTCTTGGTGGACACCAGGTTGAACATGAGCCAGCAATGTGCCCTTGCCACAAAAAAGTATCCTAGGCTGCATTACACAAAGTATTGCTTGCAGCCTGAGGGAGGTGATCTTTCCACTTTATTCAGTGCTGGTGAGGCCACACCTGGAATACTGTGTCCAGTTCTGGGTTCCTCGGTACAAGAAAGACATGGACCCACCAGAGGGAGTCCAACAAAGGGCCACAAAGATGATGAAGAGGCTGAAGCATCTCTCCTGTGAGAAAAGGCTGAGTGAGCTGGGACTGTTCAGCCTGGAGAAGAGAAGGCTCAGGGGGATCTCATCAGTGTATACAGGTATCTGAAGAGAGGGTGCAGAGAGGGTGGAGCTGGACCCTTCTCATGGTGTCCAGTGACAGGACAAGAGACAATGGGCACAAACTGAAACACAGGAAGTTCCCTTCACACATCAGGAAACACCTTTTTACTGTGAGGGTGACCAAGCGCTGGCACAGGTTGCTCAGAAATATTGAAAACACCCACAAAGATCATTGAGTCCAACTCTTTGCTCCTCACAGGAATACCTAAAACTAAACCATATGAGAAAGACCATAATTGAGATGCTCCTTGAACTCTGACAGGGTTGGTGATGTGATCGTTTTTCTGGGGAGCCTGTTCCAGTGACCAACTACCCTCTCAGAGAACTTTTTCCTGATGTCATATCTGAACTTCCCCTGACGCAGCTTCATTCGGACTTCTCATGTCCTATCAGTCATCACCAGAGAGAGGAGTCTCCATCCTTGGAGATATTCAAAAGCCATTCAGACACGATCCTGGATAACCTGCTTTAGGTGGCTCTGCTTGAGCAGACAGGTTGGACCAGGTACCTCCAGAGGTTCCTTCCAGCCTTGACTGTTCTTTGATTCTGTGACTTACAATGTTGTTGACTGACCAGCCTACAGGTTCATGTTAAAAAACCCCACTGCAACAGGACGGATGTATTTAATATCATGTGAAGGACTTCACTGTATCATGTCTGTCGACCTATTTTTGTCATTTCCCTCAGTATATTCATGGTTCCTCGTCCGGGGAGCTTGCTTATCGAAGTGTCCAACCAAACCCTTACTCAAACACATTTCAGTCACCAAACCACCTTCGTCGATCTCCCTGAGAGGATCCTCACCCTCGGAGCGAGGCGCGACGCCGGCACACGGCTCAGCGCTCGCCACACCAGGCGGGACCGCCGCGCCCTTCCCTGAGGGAAGTGGACTCCAGCTGGGACACCCTACTGGGGATGGTGGGCTCGGGGCTCGGCGTCGCGCTGGGTTACAGGTCGGCCGAGCCCCGCGGTCCCCTCGCTGTGGGGGCCGGAGGCTCCGGGGCCCCCCGCGGCCGCCGCCCCCCGCGGTGCGGGGCGGGGCCGGGCCCGCCCGACGCGTTTCGAACGGGCCAACGGGCGGCGCGGGGGGGGCGGGCGCGCGCAGGCCCCGCCCGGGACTTTAAAGCGCCATTTTGTGCTGGGCGCAGGACATCGATCGTGGCTCACACCCGGCGGCGCCCGGCGGCGGCCGGAGCCTGCCCTCGGCGCTGTGTCCGCGCTGCCTTCGCGGCGTCTGTCCCGCCACCCCGTCCCGCTGCCTCCATGACCCGCAGTAGGAAGCAGGCGGCGCTGGAGAGAGAAGCCGGGAAGATGAACCCCGAGGCGGGGAGCGCCGCGGCGGCGGCTGCGGGAGCCCGGTCGGCAGCGGTAGCTGGCGGCGAAGCGGCGGCGGCCGCCGCCTGGGGACTGGAGGGGGAGGCGGAGAAAGTTGTGTACTCGCGCTCGCAGGTCTCCTTCGCCGGCACCAAGGCGCTGGGCGACGCCCTCAAGCTCTTCATGCCCAAGTCCACGGAGTTCATGAGCTCCGACTCGGAGCTGTGGAACTTCCTCTGCAGCCTCAAGCACGAGTTCTCCCCGGTCATCCTCCGCAGCAAGGACGTCTACGGATACTCCTCCTGCCGCGCCGTCGTCCCCGACCCGCCGCCGCCCTCGGAGCGGCCCCGCCGCCGCGCCGGCAAGCGGCGCCTCCCGGCCGCCGACGCCAAGCGCCGGGCCGGGGCTGCGGGCGGCAGCGCCAAGCGGCGGCGGCGGCGGCGGCGCCGCAGGAGGGAGCGGGGCAGGCAGCGCCCCGCGGCCGGCGGCCCCCGCGCACCGGGGCAGGAGGAGGAGGCGGAGGCGCCGGAGCCGCCGGGCGAGCAGGAGGACAGCGAGCGGGGCAGCCCGGCGGCGGCCGCCTGGGAGCCGTTCGGCGGCAAGTCGCTGGAGGAGATCTGGAAGGCGGCCACCCCCCGCCTCACCACGTTCCCCACCATCCGTGTGCGGGGCAGCGTGTGGAACCGGCGGAGCCTGGCGGCGGCGCGGCGGCGGGCGCAGCGGATCCTCGGCGTGGACCTGTCCCCCGTGGTGCGGGTGCGCCGCTTCCCCGTGGCGCCGTCCTGAGCCCGCGGGGGCCCCGCTCCCCGCGCCTCACCTGGGCTGCGGTGCGGACAAAGAGACCGGTATCAGTCACCTGTTTACATTGCTTTTGTCTGGATCGTGTTCTGCTGCAGCACTTTATGGCCCGCTCGGGCGGCGCCGGGCCCCCCGCCGTATGGGGGGCGGCCTGCCGGGCCCCGGCCTCGCCCCGGGCTGGGACCGCCTGGCAGGTATCACGCATGGGGACCAAGTTCCACTTCCACTTTTTTTCTCTCCCATTGGGCTACCTCACTGGTCCAGAAGTCCACCCAAGAAGTTATTTTCCAAAGGAACTTACTTTCATGCTTGTATAATAAAGCACCATCTAAATTCTTGCTATTTTTTCCTTCCCCTCTCCTTTCCCCATTTCTGATGGATTATGTATGCTTTGTGGTGTTGCACTAGTATGTGCTCAGGGTGTTTTGAATCCCAAGCGTTCCCAAGTTTCAGTTTATTCTGATAAAGGATGCATAAAGAATGGAGGTTCAGGACTTGTGGCTGTTCTTGATGGTGCAAAAACTTTTTTTTAATTATAATTTCATGGGCTTAGTGATATATAAAGATGTATTGCGCAGTATAATTGTTACACTTTTGTATCTAAAGTCATTTTTAAAGTTTTCTAGTTGAACTAAGTATTTGTTTCTATGGAGCACCTAAAGATAGAATCATCCTGATATTTTATAACCCTGTTTACTTTAGGGAAGCTCATTTGGTCAACCTAAGTGAACTTAATAAAAGTTAAAGAACAAGTGGCGTTTCAGTTCAATGAAACTGCACAGGGATGGGTTCCTGGTGAAGTAAACCACAACCGAGGCGCTTTATGTCAATGGGCTCTGGCTTTGTGAAGAATGTAAGTGCTCATCAAAGCAATGTATAGGTGTCTGGAGGTGAACTATGATCCAGTGTTGGTGCTGACAGCCAGAAGTCAGGAGCTTGCGTGACGCAAATATCACACTGAAGTGCCTGGCTCTGCAAAAAGAGCAAAACTTGATACCTGATCACTTCATGACAAACTTGCACTTGTTGACCTGCAGTTGGAAGATGGTTAATGATGGATAATCATATTTAATATAATTACTTGCACATAATTATTTCTATAAACCTTTCATGGGTTTCACAGTAGACTGATGAAAATTCATGATGTAGCTTGATTATTTTGACTTAAAAATAACATGTAGTCATTCTATGCCCTAGGCAGTCACTTTTAAACTGATTTATTAAAGGCTTTTTTTAGGTAGGTCTTACGCCTTGCAGTTGGTGTGTGAGGTGCAAGAGTGTGTGTGAGGGAGAATGTGATTATTTTCTTTTTACATTAACTTTCTGATGCTATGAGAGGAGTAAAAAATGCTGGGTAATACACAGTTTATGTCCCTAGTGTCCTGGCAGACAGGACTAACGAGTTTTTGTGGTGGAATGGACAACTTCACAACTTACTTATAGAATCATTCAGTGACTTAACATTTCTGATGTCTGTCGACTCCTTGTTGTCTGCTGTCAACAGAGGCAATAAGATGGCTTGATGTATAGAGGCTGCTTGTAAAAACGTGCTAGTGCTAACCTAGAGCATCCAGCTTCTAAAAATCTGTGTATATTTTGCAGTTCTTTCTTACATAATGAAGCTGCAAACTTCTTCCAAACTAGGGCTTGATCTATTCTATATCCATCTGGCTTTTGAAATTGTTTACATAACGTTAGACCGTCTGCCGATCGCTGCAGTAGTGCCACGTTGCATTTTAGAAGTGAATTAAATGAAAGTTCAAGGGCACATATTGTTGTGCTGTTTCTCTGCTGTAATACCTGCTTAAATGTAGAGGCAAAATTTGGTTGATTTAAAACCCAATAAGGCAAGTTGCAGTGTGACCAAATGCTGAGGCTCCAGGTATCTCAGTTTTGAAATTCCTCTTCAAACTCAAGAGTATTGCTCCTAGTTCTTGATGCATCTAGGTGATTTCAGTGCTCCTACTGTTAGATTGGAGGGTTTTTTAGTATTCTTTTCAACTGTGTAGAAAGATGATAAAACGTAAGCAGTTGTGTTGTGCAAATTCTTAACTCATAAACAGGCACAGGACAGGCTAGGTCAGATTTCAAGGGCAAGAGTTAATGCTGCCAGAGGTATGATATGGGAGACACTGTGTTAAATTTGTGCTGCTCCAGATTTGTTTGGAGGCATATCCTGAAATGTTCTGTGTGGGAACAAAATATAGTGAAATAACTTATAACTCTGTTGAGTGACTCTCGCTGTGTGGGCTGTATACATAAGGCTTCCTTATTTTTCTCTTGGTTGTGCTTTGACTTCTTGGTTTAGAAGTGGCGGCTTTATTGGGAGTATAGTGTGCTTTACTGATACCCTGTTAGCAAATTGGGTTAAGTTTCACTGGAGTCTGAACCCCTCTGACAGCTGCATTTATAGATTCTTAACTGAGCTATTTCAGTCTGTGAAGTCAGTTAAGAAGGGGAAATCTTTAGTCAGGTTTTCTGGCAAATTAATGTGCTGAAACAACTCATCAAAGGGCTGAGTTCAGGGCAGTTGGGGTGTGAAAACCAACAGGTCACAGGGAAGCTAAACCAGCTTATTTCATTGTGTTCGTGGCAGTTTGTGGCAATCCAGGACAGGATGATCTGTGGTCCAGCTTCTCCCCTCTTTTTCCCTCTCAAAGCTGTGACTGCCACCTACCTCTCTGTGTTCAGCTGAGGAAGCTAAGCAATCAGAAGACTCTTCAATTTTAGATTTGGCTTCCATTCGACCTTCTAGCTGTAGAGCAGAGCTGAGGAAGGTTGGAGAAGGGTGTGCAGTATTGCTTCAGTATTCAGTTAGATAATTTTAAGCATGGAAGCAGTAGGGTTTATTTTATGAAAAGGGCTAATAATACTGTTGTACTCTACCTCTATGTATGCTATTGGAGAAAGTGTAATGGATTAGCTGGACTTCTGGTCTCACTCCGTGTGGCTGTTCCTACGCACACACTGAGCAGTGTGAGAGGTGGGATTTGCCTGATTTTAACTCAGTGGTTTCAGTGTCCTGTCACACTGGGCTACTTCTGAGAGTGACAAAATGCAGGCCCAGAATAAATCCAGTGTACAGTGCCCAGTCTACTTCAGTCAGCATGGCTGGTTTTATATTAAACAGGAATTTTGTGATAGCCTCTGTTGCTGGAATTCTCTTGCAGTAGGAGTTACCTCCCTTGTGAGCTCCCTTTATAGAATGACTTTGTGTGTTGAAAGTTTGGCTATTTCCTTTATCAGCTCTGAATGTTCAACCAGTCACTCAAAGGTTATTGAACTTCCAAACGCCACAGTGCCAAAAAGGGTTGAAGGATGGTCCCAGATGTCAGGGATAGAATTGAGGCGATCATTGGTCTAGTGTAGGCTTTATATTCAAGAGGCAGTGCCTTCCTCTAAGTCACTGCACAAATACATTGTTCAGGACTAAGCTCACAAAAGGAGAATGCACTGCCTTGCAAGAATTCTCCTGACTATTGTATAAAAGTTTTCATGTCAAAAGGATCAAAGTGTCCAACTGGTCCCTGAAACAGTTGCTGGCCTGTAGACAACAAACTCTCTATATGCCCAAACCTCATGCCGAGCATTGCTGTATGGATTTGCGGAAGGCAATTTTGGTACTTGGACTTTGCTCTGAAGGGGTGTAGGGGATGTTGTGTGTGTCTGTATTTCCTTCCTTATCAGAAGCAAAGGGCAGAGTGAACTGGGTTTGAAGACTTCAGCTTCAAAATAATTTTTCACTGACTGGGTCTTCAGCAAGGCAGAATCCTGGGCTCTTCATGCTATTTAAAACAGTTGACTTATGGTAATTTATGATGGCTCAGTGCTGTACTTTGACTCCAAGGTTTGCATGCATAAGAAACCAGTAATGCTGAAAGCACCTCTATTTCCTTTTGGCTTAATGGATAGACAAAAAATTTTCTGATTGGTATGTATGAGTCAAAACCACTGATTTTGGGTTGAATGGAATGTGGGGTTTTTTGAATTTGAATTGCTCAGGTTTTGCTTGTGTCTATAAACACAGGAAATCTGGAAACAAAGGACTAGATTGAGAAGAACGATTTGTCACAGAGGTGAGGCAGTTTATATCAAGAAAGACAGTAGATCAGAAAAGCTGGACTTCTAAGACCCAAATTTCAGTGCCTCCTCTATCACACTTGGAAGGGGAGTTTGGAAATTCTGTGTCCTGAGAACCATGTTACAAGAGCTTGAACCATTTCTTTCTGTATAATAAATATTCAGTAAGCTAGAAAAAATCCTGGATATGAAGGTTTTTAGGGAACACCTTGGTTCTTCATCTGCTATTTATTTCAGGTAAGCATAACTGCCTTATCAGGAAAGATTTAGGCAGACCCATCCCAGAGTATTCTGTGGCAGGGGATCTGCTCAGGCAGTGACTCCAAATATATGCTGCTCATGATGGCTTATTCCCAAATTATAATGAGGCATCCAGTAGGTATGGTAGTAGGACTATGTAGGAGAATTTTGGAACATGTCTTATCCCTAATCAGAGCAAAGCCGTTTTTCCATACTGTAAAAACAAAGCATATTTTCTCAGTGCTAAGGCCTAAATATCTTCATAGAATTACAAAAAAAAAAATATCTCTAGTTCTTCTCTTGTTGTGGCCACTTCTTTATGTAAAGAGACCTGAAAATATTTTTCAGGGTTGATTACAAGAATGGAGTCTTGTTTATCCATTTATTTACCATGAAACTGCTAAGCAGTACTCAACATTATAGGAGATGGAAGAAGTGGGGCTTCATTCATGTGGTTCATTTTCACTCAGAAGGATGTGCAAGCTACCCAGTGGAACAGAAAAGCTTGTGGCTCTGTTTACTCTCTGCTGGCCTTTAAGAAAGCTTCCATTCCGTTTCTCTTTCAGTATTCTTATTTGAGATTATAGAAGATGAAAGTTGATAGTGTTGAAGTGGAAAGGCAGTAGTGTCAAAACACTGCCAACCGGAAGACTCTATCCCTTGAACTGCTCTCATCATTCTGGGTTTCTCTCTCCGTTGCTACTTCAGGAATGCAGACATTCTGCACCCGCCCCTGCTCCTGCCCTCCTTTCCTAGGCTGGTTTTGAGGAGAGACAGAGATTTGAACGGTCTAGAGTAGATGGGAGGTGAAATTCCTGCTCTGAAAGACAGGTGGGATTTTTTGTTTTGTTTTGGTTTTGTGTGTGTGTCTTGTCTTATGTGTAAGCTGGCAGCTGCTTTCCACCTCCTTGGAGAGTCTTCACTTTGTCTTTACTGTCAGCCACCTCTAATTGCCTATTCCTTGTGCAACTGAGCAGCCTCTTCATCAGTTTACATTGCTTACACCAAATCATCTTGCTATAGGATGGTCTGTAAAGATGGAGAGGACATGTTCACATGTACACATACTTGTAGTAAGTGTTATCTTCACCTCACATTTTGGCAGCACTGTACCGTACTCAAAATACCAGATGTTGTTTCCAAATGGATGGTGTTTCCTGGATGAGAGGTAAGAAACCAAACTGAAACAACATGGTGTAACAATTCCCTGTGTTTCAGTCTGCATGATCCAAAACGCTTTTTCAAAGTATTTTTGAAAAAGAAGGAAAGCTGCTTTCCATTTCCCCATGAATTTCTAAAAATTCTAAAATGGGGTTATTATGTTACTATATTTATTTTCCTTTCCAGTTAAGCAGTTGAAATAGCAACCATTGACTTTGTACATCCCAGAATTGTTAAAATCATTTATAACTGAACTTGTCCCATGCTTCTGTAAGGTAACTGATGAATAATGAGCGTGTACTTCTGAATTAACAGGTTGTGTAGGAAGCTGACACATCACATTTCACCCCCTCTAAGGATATGTGTCTGCTCAGCTACTGGTATTAGCGTCACAGTTTGAGACCAATGATGCAAGTTTTCTTGAAATGGAGCAGAAAGCATGTGTTAGGGCAGGGTCCCTTATCCTGTGCTTATCCTTCATTCTTGCCAAGCTCCTGTGTAAGGTTCCAAATAGCAATGATTTCCTAATTATACAAATATAATTATGTATAGCAAAGACTAAATTTTATAGATGGTATAGATAACTATGAAAGCTTGTAATTAATATTAGTGTATATATGTACACACGCATACATGCACTCAGACCCCAAAGCACTTCTCCTAAAGAGGCTTCTGTTGTAGTTTTCACTTGTCCAATGCCATTGTATCCCACGTGTATTCTAAAAATACCCCACATTTCCATGCTATACAGGATCAACAAAATTGTCCCAAGGTCAGAGCAATTCCTCTTGAAATCTACCTTACTAACAGTTATCTCATCCAGAAACCCTTTTCCAGTAAGATTTCTCTAGACTTCCGCCTTATGTTGAATCCCCTAATATTAAAGTTTTGGTATAATCTCCACTTAACACTTGCTGTCTCAGGAGGTTGTGAGGGAAATTCGACTCTTCCAGAAGAATGGGATCTGATTTTTCTTTTACTCTTGAAGTGACCGTTTGATAGAGGAAGCAACCAGAGACAGAAAATCTTAAAACCAATCCTTTGTCGTAGCAGAAAGACTGAAGTGCAGTTCCTGCTGCTGTTGAGTGGCCTTCAGCAGGAAGGGTCACACAGCTCAGGCACAAAATTCCTTCCACTTAAGTGCTTTTTCCAGGAAGAAACACAGATCATCTCTTCCTGTGAATGTACAGAAACAGTGATGTGCTGATTCTGAATGGGCTTTAATGTGTTTGTAAATGTCGGGTGTGGGTTTTCTTCATAGAAATTCTTAGTATTTTGTACCTTAGGTTATACTAAGGAATAGTCATTTTTTCACCCCTAGACCTTTTAAGAAGCTCAAAGTTTAAGTCTTTCATGAGTTGCCCACAATATTTTTCTTCCCAAAGGTGCATCAGTTGTTTAGGAAGTTGTGCCTGTGGAACACAGAAAAATTCAGGTTGGAAGGGACTTTCAGAGGTTAACCTGGTCAAATAGCATCCTCCACAAGCAAGCACAGATGAAAGATATCTTGAGAAGGGGTTCTTTAAAGACATCCTAAGTACTTGTAAAAACAGAAGCAGTAGGGGGAAATGGGGGAAATTTTCCTGGGTTGAAATGCTTCCCATTTCATAAATGGGGAGGGAACTGGCTGATGTCATTGCCAAACCGTTCTCTGTTGTATTTGAGAAGTCATGGCAGTCAGGCCAAGTCCTCAGTGACTGGAAAAAAGGAAACTTTGCTCCTATTTTTAAAAGGGGAGACA